GCTAAGTTGCGGAAACTGGCTTGAACTCATGATCCTTCAGCCTCAGTTTCCCAAGCCACTGGGTATAGTACACATTTTTAAACTAAAAATAAATACTCTCTGGACTCCAAGTAGTCTGTCCTGTACTCTAACCTAAGTATGCATACAAATTTTGATTTCCTTGAGTTTTGGAAGAAGAGTATAATCTACCAGGGTCAAGTATGACTGGATTTGTGAGCTGACATATTTCTTCATTAGCCACAGTTCAATCTATCTTGACTGACATGGACATATAACAAACCTCCATTTTCAGTTAAAGGAAGAATTAAAATGAAAACAATCAGCAAATGAAAATAACCAACTAACCAACCAGACCAACAAAACCAAAAGAAAAAAACAAAATTTTCTTCTTTGAAATTATATAAAAATGATATAAATTATTGCTTTCCTCAGCTTTGAGACAGAAGTTGAAATACCTAAGAGAACAGGTAAATATGGTGACTGTGGTCAAATGGGCACCCAAACTGACCAAAATAGATATTATTTGTTTCTTTAAGAGTAAGCTGGGCTAGGGTTGTGACTTATTGGTAGAACACTTGCCTAGCATGTGTGAGTGCACTGGCACTGGGTTCGATCCTCAGCATCATATAAAAATAAATAAAATGAAGGTTCATCAACAACTAAACCATAAATAAATAAATAAAAATTTTAAAAAGTGAGTAAGGTGTTTCAAATACATGTCTATTAATTAAAAAAAGAAACAATTATCCATGTAGTCATTAAATTAATACCTGGTGACTACTATTTGCAATTATTTAAGAACAGATAAACACATTAAAAGGAAACAATGAGGCATTCATTTTTATTCTCCTTACTGCTCTTATGAGTAAAAAGTTCCTTAGATTGTCCTATTAAAATAAAACAGAGGAATATCTTTATAACGAAAATTACATGCATGAAAAATAAAAGAATAAAATTTCATCATCCAATTTGGACAACATTTATACTGTCTTCCTTCTACATTCCTTCTGAGCCATTTATGTTATTGTTATAGTCTTGCAGTCTATATGACAAGGAGTTGGCAAATGTTCAGAGTGGTATAG